TGTAAAACAAGCCACTGAGCAAACTATCCAAGGAGAGGGGATAGGGGAGGTAGGGGAGGCTGGGGAAGAGACCAATTTCATTATGATGGGCCTGGTGACAATAACCTTTTGTCCTCTAAACAATCTGGGCCTGCCAAGCTGCTCCACAGTCTCTGAGAAAGCATTAGGGCAGGAGAGAAAGAATCCTGTCAGGAGGCAACAGACTCATCCTTAATTATGAGACAAGGCTTCCCAGAGCTGACATCCTCTCCCACACTTCCTCCCTGCCGCAACACCCCACGGAATGCTGGCATGATGCTCCTCTAATGAGTGCAGTCAATTTTCCTAAGCATAGGACGCTTGATTCTTTGAGGGATCTTCTCCTACCATCCCCGGGCCCAAAACATGCACAGCCTGATGGAAGGGGTGAGACATTGCAGACTAATTAACAGTCTACTGGGTGACACTAGGAGCTAGAAAGCCTCGCTGCTCCTACCAGGCTTGATTCTACCCTCCTGCTCCCTACAGAAGTATCAAGGAGATAGCGTTCCTAGTGGGTAGAAGTCTGTTGCTTAAATTTCTACCAGTGCTCAAGTCATGATGTCTGCTCTTAACCCTGAAGAAAACGTAACTGGTGCACAGCAACAGAAATAAGAGTCAAAGACCTAAGTTCTCGTCTTTATTTTGACTCTTGGGCTTCCAGAGCTCGCAGCGCAGCACAACATCCAGGGATGCACACTCTGAAGTTCTGCTGCCTGGTTCTCTTCTTACTGGCTGTAAAACCTTGAAGAGTTTGGTCTCTGAGCTTCAGTGTCCTCATCTGTAAAAGTTCCTACTTTCCAGGGCTGTTTTAAGAGTTAAAGATGAGGCATCAGGAAAAGCTTTCCTGGTAGTGCTGGCCCAACGCTCTTCCAATAACTGTCAGCCAGCTCCATTACAATCATGATTAATGGGGGTGGGGTAAAAAATCTCCCCAACTAGGAATTTATTTCCAGGATCAAACAGCTTAGAAGTAGGTGGACCCCTTGTTGGACACATTTCCAAGAAATGAGTCGACAGCCTAAGGCAACTTTGAAGGGAAGGAATAGGAAGGAGGGACTAGGTAAGGACTTACTTGCATCTTTGAGCGAGACACCTCCCAAATGTTCATCAGTCCACCTGCAATCGACTCCAAGAATGGGGCAGTAATTCAAGGCTTTTATGGGAAAAAATACTACAGCTCTTCACTTCCCCTTCTCCATAAAATTAATTTTCCAGGCCTTCTCTTCTATAGGCCGTGAAGAAAGGCAGCTGACCCCATCTTTTGAAGTTCTAAAAAATACCTGTTCAGTCTGGGGCCTTGCTGTTGGAGGGAAAAATATTTAAAGAGAAACTTATTAAACTTGGGGTGAGTTTACACAGGCCCTGGTTTAAACTATTTTTAAACTTACCAAGGTCTTCTGACAAAGACAGAATGGGCTTTCCTTCTCTAGAAGTTTCGTTTTCAAATCAAAATAAGGTCAGGTAGGAAATGTACAGAGGTGCACATAAATCTCAGTCAGTAGCCCACACTGTGAGCCAACAGCCACTTTGGGAATTACACTAAAAACAAATCAAATCCTGTCTGGTTGAAGCCATTCTCAATCTTAGTTCCTCAATTATTTAGTGCCTTCTGTGAAGTTCCTTATAATTAACACCAGCCTGTTTATGGACTGCTTATCTGCACAGGCCCATGTGGGGGGGGAGGGGAGGAAGGAGGGAGGGAGGAAGGAGGGAGGGAGGAAGGGAGACACAAACACAGAGACAGAAAAAGATGGAGGCAGCGTGGGGAGGGGGAGAAAACGTATGCAGTAAAAGCTGGATGTGATTCAGTTGTTGAACTTACCTACATTTAAAAAAATCATACAACAAGGGCAATTTTTAGCATTTGTTAAAGAGAAAGATACACAAGTCACTTACAAAAAGAGCAGAATTTTAAGAGGCTGAAAAAAGGAACATAAAACTATCGTCTCGTTGCAGTTTGAGGGGAATGGTGACAGCGTTTTGAAAGCATCTTTCCCCTTACAGGGACACTGCCTATCACCTCCTCAGCAGCGCTTTCCACAGCTGGTAGCAGTATATTGTCCTTTCTTTCCCCTATAAACTGACACCAAGAACCTGCAGCAAGGACAGTCTTCCCGTACCACCACCCTATGCATGAAAACTACCAGCTTGTGTGGACCGACTACACACCAGAGCAAACAGCCTTCTCTCAGCCCAGTATGCCTCGGACACCAGCTAAGCATTGCTACTGTCCCCACACTCTCCACCGCGCTGCCCACCCCCACTTCTGTCGACCGTGCCCCTCCTTTTAGCTCATACATAATTTCTGCCTGTCTCCTACGTGGGAGGTGCAGGACCAAATGAGAAGCCTGTTTAAATAAGGCCACTGGAGCCATCGATGACTTATGTCTTGTATTTATTCCTTGACCTGAATCATTTTGTCTCTCGTTCATTTTTTCTTTTCTTTTCCTGTTTTCTGATTCCCTCCCTCCATGTAGTCCTGAGACCTCCCATACATGCTTCGGTTAGCTTTTCCCTGGATACCTCAATCTGCTTTCTGGAGTGAGTATCCTTCAACCTTAGGACAGCTTTCCAAAAACATTGCTTCCATTTAAGTCTCCTTTTCAGGAACATAAAGAGCAACCCACGCCTCCCACGGCACCTCTAAACTTCTCCGCCTGGCTTCTCGGGTGCCCTGTGATGCCCCCTCGGAGCGCGCTCAGTGCGTTTCCCACGGTCTCTCTCCTTACATTTAGCCATTTTTCCTTGCTGGCTTTTCAGGTCTGCTCTCTCTCTCCCTTTTTAAAAAAGTATTTCCGACCAATGGATTCAAGTTGGATGTTCAGGCTCACTCGTTCAGGAGGCAGAGGTGAGATTTCCTACACGAGCACGTGAGTTTAAGGCCAGCCTGAGCCATGTAGCAAGGATTGCATCAGACAAAAAAATCCCCCCAAACAACCCGTGTTGCTTTTTCCACTTTTCCAAGAGCTACAACACTCAGACCAAACCCCAACTCCGCACTTGTGTGGCATACTGGCTTTTACCATCTTTCTTCAAGAAGAACTGATTTTACTAGCTGAATGCAAATGGCTTTAGAAAGAAAACCCAGCCAAGGTTAGAATAATTACTCTAAGGCTTGAAAACTGAGGTGCAGATAGGGGGCAACTTTTCTGATAAATTCATTCATGTTCCAGAGCTGGGGTAAATATTAGGCTCTTCTGTTGTGGGACAGGAGCTGCAGACTGAAGGCAAACAAACAGATATAGCTGTATTTAAAAATTAATTATTTATAGGAACAGATGGTGGGAGGAATCTGGCTCTCTGGCCCTCGCTGGCTGGCCACATGCTGGAGGACAAAGCATGGGGCTAGATGAGGATGTGCTTTTTCAGTGGGCAGAAGCCAAGCAGAAGTCCCCTTCATCAGCATCTTATCTTTTCTGGGTCGCTCTCCTTCTCCTTCAGTACAGTATGTACCCTAGAAGCAGTCCCTGCCTAGAAGTCATCACCATGGGGATCTGGGCTGGGACCATCTGCTCTACCTATTTTGGTCAAAGAAGAGCAGAGAACGAAAGCTGCTTCCACGCCTTTGTTGGGAGATGCGGCAAGGAAGGATTAAGTCGTCTCGCTCTTCCACTGTCCTCCAACTGGCCAGAGGCACGCTCATCGAATCCCGGGGCAGAAGAGTTCGCTCTTCATCTATCTTTACACATGCAAGGCACTATTCTGCCATTTAATTCTTGTGTTATCCCTGTCATTATATGTTATTCAGACGGAAGAAATACACGGATTCTTAGCAAGTGGTTTGGTGTAGAAACAGTTTTGGTCCTTAGGTGATTTTCAGAATTACACATACCAAGTCTGTATGTAATAATATAAAGATTGCCTTTTTTTAAAAAAAATTATTGCCTGAGTTCAATCCCCGGTTCCTCAAAAAAAAAAAAAATTATTTATTTATTTAGTGAAGGCTCTTGCTACGCAGCTCAGACTCATAGTCATCCTCTTGTCTCAGCCTCCCCAGTGCTGTGATTACAGGCGTGTGCCAACTCACCTGGTTTCAGTGGCCAGCATGGTATGCCTGGGGTTCTGGGGCCAACATGGCATGTGGTACTGGGGACTGAACCCAGGTCCTTGCGCCTGCCAGTCAGGCACTGAGACCTTGGAGCTATCTCCTCAGTCCTTCCTATGCGTGCCTTCTGTAACACAGGTGGGTGCCATCAATTATCGATAGAAAATAGATGCTGAAAAAGTGTCTGTAGTGAATACACCCCAGTCTTCTTCCTTGATATTATTCTCTACATGACACAGTATAACAACTGTTTACATTAATGTTTACAAAATATTGGTTACTTTGAGTAATTTAAAGATGAGTTAAAGCATACAGGAAGGAGTTTGTGCATAGGATATATGCAAATACTATATCATTTTATATAATAGACTTGATTGAGCATTGCTAATTTTGGTATATGTAAGGGATCCTGGAACTAATCTCTCACGTATTCTAAATGATGCATGTGACAAAAATAAACTCATTCCCTTCAGTCTTGATAATGAACCTTCAAAGGGTACATCTTTATTTTGCCCACTTTATTCATAGAAAAATGGGCTCTAGAGGTCACATAGCTTAATCCAACTTTCTTCATTTATCAAAGGCAAACTCAAGATTTAAACCCAAACCAGTTTGGCTTGATAAATCCTTGGCAAATTCCTTCGTAACCCTTTACCTCTTTGATAGCCCTGGCCTGAGCACGTAAGGCTCAATGAATTTTTAAAGGTCCCAAATGACCACTCCATGTTCATCAAGGAGTTAAGCCAGCTTTACGGGGGCTGGTGTTCGGGACTGGGCCTCAGAGAAGTGCAGAGACAGACTTGAGAACTGGTCTCAGGTGCAAATAGCAGAAGTAGGCACCGGGGCTCGTCCTCTGTGCAAGGACTCTGGTGCCTTCTGATCCCAACAGCAGGAAGAGCCTCCCACACACGCTAGCGAGGAGACGCGCTCTTACCAGCCTGTCATGTTGAAGTCTCTGTACAGCATCTTCTTTCCAAGCTCCTTCCTCTGTACTCTCCTTGGAAACTCCAAATGTGTGAATTCATTTCCTAGCAAGTGAGGCTGCATGAATGCCTAATAGCAAAGAGAAGAAGAAGAAAACAAGCCACATACTTATTTAGAAGAAGAAAACAAGACTCAAAGGTGTTTTGCAAATTGAGACAAGAAAACCATCTCATATTTTAGCAAAAGCAGGGATTTCAAAATTTAAACATCAACCAACATGCAAAGATGGTGTGCTTAATTAATATGGCAATGCTACTTTTTATTGGATATGAAGAACTATGTGCAATCAAAGGTACTTATAGCTAAAGGCATAAAGAAAAGAGCGACTGAGCTGCTCCAGAGTTCACTTTTGAATTCTCATCCAGCACGGCGGCACTCGGGTGAACTGCGAGTGGGTGAGGCCAGGTGGGCAGGCGGGCACTGCTCCTGCTTTCTGCTCACTAACCCCGACGCCCTTAGCCCGGCTCTGCCTTGGGAAGCTGCGTGTGAGTGCGCGGTAAGCACACGGGCCTGAGGCCGCAGGCCGCAGGCGGGGCTGCTGCACAGCCGGGAACCTTCAGCTGGCCACCTTCCAGTGTGCTCTGCCCCCTCCAATGCGCTCTGCCGTCATTTGCCTCTATCACTGGAAGCCTATTCCGGAGCAGATGGCTTTTTCCCTCCCCCCAGATCTCAGTTCACACTACAAAAGTCTTGAGCAAGCAGCCACTTAGGGGATTGCTTTGGAACAACAAACACTCTCATTGTTACACGCACGGTTCACATCCCGAGCTCTCCAAGAGATGCCAAACTCATGTTTTCGCTACCTCGTTGAGAGGAGGCCGCACAGTCTGCGAACCTGCCCCCAAATGGCACACTTCCAGCCCGGGGCTGCGCAGCAGTGGAGTGGTGGAATGGGCCAGCCCTCCTTTCTGGCACAGCAGAGTGGGCAGAGTCCATCACAGCCTGGCACCGCAGGAAGGCGCAGGCTCCCTGCTACAGGACACATGGCCTCATCCTCAGCTTATTACCCCTGCTGGAAGACCGTTCTCTGGAATGCGTGGGACCAAAAGTGTTCAGAATATTTTTTTTGGTATCTCCATATACATAATGAGTTATCTTGGAGATGGGAACTAAGTTTAAATATAAAATTCACATACGCTTTATAAACATCTAATACACACAGCCTGAAGGTAACTAGATACATTTTCATGGTACCTATGATTTAACTATCATTGTCACATGAGGTCTGGTGTGAAGTTTTTCAGTTCTGGCATCATGTTATAGTTCAAAGAGAATTCTGGGGCACTTCAGAAGATTCTGGATTGTTGTATTAGGGATGCTCAATCTTTAAGAGTCATCTTCCACAGTGCTTTTCCATGACCCGATTACAGCAGGTCTCCAACGGGTGCTCTTGGAAGTCTGAGGGTGTTAGTTAGAGGGTAGTTATCTGAAGTGAAGCTCATCAGGAAGTGGGCTGAATTGCTAACAGGGGGCCATATTTGGCCAGAGACATAATGTGAAGGCAGGATGGCCTTCAGGGCAGGTTGAGATGAGACAGCCTGCTGGGAATTTTGGATCTCTTTGGGGGCTCTGAGACTCTGAGCACGTTAGGCTTGGGCTGCCTTGGAATATGAAGGAAGCATAAATACTGGTCTTTATAGAAGCTCTCTGTGGAACAAAAGAAGGGAACAAATACAGCCTAGGAGAAGTCACCCATCCAAATACTAACCAAGCCCGACCCTGCTTAGCTTCTGAGATCAGACAAGATGTGGGGAATTCAGGGCAGTATGGCTGTAGCACAGAAATACAATGTGTTATATACATGTACCAACTCACTGTGGGGAATGTAATATTATATACTGCAAGCATATACTATACTACTAAAAACAAATTTGAACAATGAAAATAAAAACTGTAGCTCAGTGGTGAGGCCTTTACGTGAGACAGACTTCAGGCTGTGCCCCAGTTCTTCATTTATAAACTGTGTGACTTTGGTAGGTCATTTAATTTCTTGGGTCTCAGTTTCCTTATCTGTAAAATAAGATTAGCTATATATCTCATAGACTATTTTTGTAATTACATGCCTCTAGTGCACTGATCACGGTTATCTTTGCTCATAAAATAACTATTACATCCATTTAATGATTATTGGATCCTATTACATCCTCAGTACTACGCTCAGAACCTCTTGAGTTTTCATTTCACCCTTCAATAGATTTATGGACAGGAAGAGTTACTTAATTCGTGGGGCTCAGTGCAAAGTGAAAGTGTGGAGCCTCTATAGAAAATTAAAAATTTCAAGACAGAGACAGCGGTGCATTAAACTAAGCAGAAGATCCTGTGTACTCTGCGAGCTACACACCCAAGAAGCCAGCCATGGAAAACGGTAGGCAGTATCTTAGCCTGCTTTTATTTTGGTTCATGAAGAAGAACTAAGGGGGCCGGGGAGATAGCTCAGTAGAATAAGCACTTGCCTGGAAAGTGCAAGGTCCTGACTGAGTTCAATCCCTGGTTCCGCAAAAA